AATAGTTGATGATCTCGTGGTATCGAAAGAATACCGAGATCGTGCCAGGTTATATGTAATGTTACTGAGCGTAACCGTATTCGTGCAAGGTCACAATCAATGGAAGAATGTCTTAAGTACGGTTAAAGGAATAAGTACAGTAAAACAACCACTGGTAAAATTGGTTATCATAATGATTGTTTCCATTAAATCAATCGCGTTCTCTTGATAAAAGTAATTCACTACAAATAATTTGATTTTATATGACAAAGAATCCTTAATTCACATGTTATACCTTAAATGATGTACTCCGCCTTAAAGGTGCCTAATTTTATGGATCAGTAATTTTGGTGTAATGCCATTGTTTCTATCATTTACCCATGCTACAATGCATTTTCTTCGTCAACAAAGTCAGTCTGTTATCATTTACATTTAAATCTGTCCATTTCTTTGTTGGTTTACAAATCTTGTCGAGCATTGTCTTTGCTGTTCACTTATTCATCTACCTAGTTTTTGGTTTTTAAGCCAGGTCTGACGGGTCACTTAACCAGAAACTCGGAATCTGCAGTGGATGGTTACACTTCTGATAGCTTGTGCCCTACAATTTAAAGTCTTACGCTAACTGTGACAAAAATGCCTTACGAGCAAACCTTTCACTGGTAACAGTGAGGCGCACTTTTCGGCTAGTTTGACGGAAGAACTTTCCACATAATCTTCAGCAGTTTTATTCGTCTCCATTTAGAGTACGGAAACATAATATTTCCTCCTTCGTTCGAAAAGGATAAGGACAATCTGGAGCGTATCCAACGGTGAGCTACAAAATCAGTTCAGGGAATCAATTGACCTTCACTCATTAGAGTATGGGCGTCTTAGAGGTGACCTTCTGATGGCTTACAGTATCCTTAACACTTCTGGACATCCTCTTAATCACCTACTTAAGCTTGGTCTCAATTCTAACCTGAGGAGTGACACCCAGAAATTGGAGATAAAACACAGCAGAGCGGACTGTAGACGCAACTTCCACTCCTTAGGAGTTGTCAAATACAGGAATTCGCTTCCGGCCGAGCTAGTCCGAGCGACTTCTCAGGAGTCCTTTAAGAGGCAACTTGATCTATTCTTAAGGACTAAGGATAGTATCTTACTATGATTAACCAATCTATTCTTCCTGTTTTATCGTTAATATACCTAGGTTCTTCTGGTAGGTGTTTTTTAGCGAGTTAGTTTTCTACGGGTTGGGGACGCTAACCCTATGCCCAACCCATCTCCTTTACCCGGGCTTGAGACCGGCTGTAACTCTAGAAGAGCTACAAGCCAGCTCCAATGAATCCACCGGACATCGAAGCAGCACACACAGATCTTCCTATAGATGTCAACCCACCAACGACGGAAGAAATTAGAATGACCGTCAGACAAATCAAGACCGGGAAAGCAGCAGGACCCGACAACATACCAGCTGAAGCACTGAAGTCAGACGTCGAAGTAACCACAAGCATGCTTTACCTTCTATTCAAAAAGATTTGGGAGGAGGAACAAGTGCCGATGGACTGGAAAGAAGGACACCTCGTCAAGATTCCAAAGAAAGGAGATCTGAGCAAATGTGAAAACTACAGAGGCATAACACTACTGTCAATACCAGGGAAAGTCTTCAACAGAGTGTTGCTGAACCGGATGAAGGATGCAGTAGACGCCCAACTTCGAGATCAACAAGCTGGATTCCATAAGGATCGGTCGTGCACAGACCAAATTGCAACACTACGGATCATCGTCGAACAATCAGTTGAGTGGAACTCGTCACTATACATCAACTTCATTGATTATGAAAAGGCATTTGACAGGAGGACATTATGGAAATTTCTTCGACACTACGCAGTTCCTGAGAAGATTGTCAATATTATCCGGAACTCATACGACGGACTAAAGCGCAAAGTAGTGCATGGAGGACAGCTGACAGATGCATTCCAAGTAAGGACTGGAGTCAGACAAGGCAGTTTACTCTCCTCCTTCCTCTTTCTTCTGGTGGTCAACTGGATTATGAAGACCTCGACATCTGAAGGAAAACACGGAATACAATGGACAGCTCAGAATCAATTAAACGATTCGGACTTCTCAGATGACCTAGCCCTCCTATCGCTTACACACGAACAGATGCAGATGAAGACAGCTAGTGTAGCAGCAGTTTCTGCATCAGTAGGCCTCAGCATACACAAAGGGAAAACCAAGGTCCTCGAATTTTAAAACGGAGAACAGCAATCCAATCACTCTTGATGGCGAAACTCTGGAAGAGGTAGAATCCCTCACATATCTGGGAAGCATCATCGATGAACAAGGAGGCTCAGATGCAGACGTAAAGGCGAGGATCGGCAAAGCAAGGGTCGCATTCCTACAATTGAAGAACATATGGAACTCAAAACAACTTTCAATCAATATCAAAGTTAGAGTCTTCAATACGAACGTCAAGGCAGTTCTACTGTACGGAGCTGAAACTTGAAGAACTACAAAAACCACCATCAGGAAAGTACAAGTATTTATAAATAGCTGTCTTCGCAAGATACTCAACATCCATTGGCCGGATACCATCAGTAACAGTCTTCTGTGGGAGAGAACAAACCAAACTCCAGCTGTAGAAGAAATTAGGAAAAGACAATAGAAATGGATAGGACACACATTACGCAAATCGTCAAACTGCATCACGAGGCAAGCCCTAACTTGTAATTCTGAAGGGAGGAGGAAGAGGAAGGCAAAAGAACACATTACGTCGGATAATAGAAGCAGATATGGAAAGGATGAATTACAACTGGAAGGAGCTAGAAAGGATTGCCCAGAACAGGGTTGGATGGAAAATGCTAGTGAGCGGCCTACGCTTCTTCACTAGGAGTAACAAGCGTAAGTAGTAGTAGTAAGTAGTAAGTATACCTAGGTTCTTGCCTGGAGGTATTGGTGAACCCCTACTACTAGACACGGGAGCCTGTTAAGCGAAAGCTTCCTCTATTCCGTACACAACCATTTGAACCTTTCGAAAGGTTCAATCGGACTCAAAATACGCCAGTTCACCGGGAATAATTCCATCCAACGGTTAAGGTACATTCACTTTCTGCAAAAAGTAACTCTGAACCGTAGATGCAATCAAACGATGTTGCTAACGTTAGGTTGTTAATAGAACAATATAGATGATCAGTGTTTGACAACACTTCTGCGTGAATTATCTCATAAGACAGTCCTAGGCTTGACGAAACTAGAATTATTAGATGTTGTGAGAGGAAGATATATTTAAACAAAGGAATATAAGCTATCTAGTTGTTGAATCAGATTAGCGGAACATACCAAAAAGATTTCATGGGTTAATCTTTACGTGAGCTGAACTTGTATTTAGAGAAATCACTAACGATAGCCGTCAGTATCATAAGACTGCACACCAATTCATTTCAGCTATTAATTTTTGAGGGTCGAAATATTGGGCATTGGATGGTACTGGCTATTAACAATATTTGAAAAGTGACGTAACTCGTTCGGAACGTTAGAATGTCAACTTGTTGTCTCGATTGTTAGATTGTCCTGTCCTCACGTTTGTGTCATTTTTAATTGCTGTAGATTCTCTTCTCCTCACATTACACTAGCAAACAATCTACTTCCAGACTAAGTGTAAACTTGTCGAAGACTGAATATTTTAGTTCTTTACCTATTTTCTAGGCTCATGTTAGTACTTCGAGCTGTTGTTTTCCTAGTCTCGATCCTTCCTTTTACGAGATTTTATAATAGTTAAATATTTGACAAATGGAACCACATGGTCTTTAGACCATTTTCCATGCACTCTTTAGAGTGGAAATAATGGGGAAAGGTGCCCTAATGTCTGTTTTGTCGCCTGTCAGTGAGAAGTAATGTGGATCTTACCATTTACGTTGCTTTGTGTTTTAAATGTTGCTGAACTGTACTTTTCGCCTAAATACTCCGGATTATCTACCTTCGCTCAAATTTTCAACATACATTTTGCCTGTCCTCAAATGTCTCCCATGTTCGCCTTTATTTCTATAAAAAGCCACACGACAACTGCAGTTGATGTTAAAAATACCAGATTTTTGAGGAAATTAACTGAACTTGTTACATATACCATCATCACACAGAAGTCTTTCATTGCTGCAGCTACTGTGTTCAATCAAAGTTGGCGGAATTTCATTACAATTAACTTCAGTGTTGACTGCTATTGACGCAACGTAGATCACTGGTATAGTCATTTGCCGTTCGGTGTCAATTTAGGTGAACAGTAGACTATTCGTCATATATTTGGGCCAAAGGTAGACAACAGCCACATTTTAAACGTTAAGCGTAAAGTAGATGGCCGCCGTTTAACGAAACATGGTAATGCCATGGTCTTTCAATATACGGTAAAGTGATATACGGTCACCACCGAAACTTCAATAAAACGTGGACGATTAGGATGTATGTTTCCTATTGGTAAGGTGGCAATGCGATTTTACTTTCTCAATATCTATCTCTTGAACTCGTTCCAATGTATTCGTTTCATTTTTAGCATATAATCTGGCTTTATTTCTAAAGGTTTACTATGATATAAATCGGTTATCATGAGTAGAATGTGCCTTTAATTGGGTCAGGAATAGGTTTACATTGTAACTAACGTAGATGGAAAACTTGAGTCTGTTTCACAGTTGGCTTTTTTATTAAGGTAATCTGGGCTGTTATAATTTATAATTTTGTATATAGGCATTCCATTGATTTGAAAGTGGTGCGAATCATTATTACCAATATGTTACACAACTTTCTTCACAGTGTTTTTTTCTAATGATAGTCGGTTGACTAAAGATCGTCCATGGGACCATATGAAATTAAATATTGTACTGACTGACTTGTGAGCCTCGTAAGAGGATAGCTGCATTAGTGGAATTCTAACCAACCGCACTCTCAGGTTGAAGTTCTTGATATTAGATTGTTGCTCTGTTTCTTTGACGTTTTGCACTGCGAATATTTTATTGTAGTCATTGTTCTGATGTACTTCTACTTCCTACAAGATGGAGGCATTAAAGTCACTTACGAACTTCACTGAAAAGTTTTACGAACAAATATTAAATGAAGCTCATGGTGAGTTCGTTCTGCTACAATGCTCCTACGAATGTGTTTAGGTCAATGGGAAAATGTTTTTCTCTCGCCGTTCAATATCTATACTGCCCTCGGAATGGTTCTTTCAGGCAGTGGAAACAATACGAAAGCCGAGATGACAAAGGCAATGCAATTGTCTGACTGTTTAGAACATGATCAAGTTCATCATGAGATTGCTCAACTTTTAAATGATTGTTCGAAACCTAGTGAAGGTGTTAATATAATCCTTGCTAATAGATTGTTCGTTGCACAAAATGTGAGAATCAAGGAACAGTTCAAAACTAATCTGAAGACATACTACGATGCTCCAACAGAACATGTAAGTTCTTGCTATTCGTTACTATTTTTTGCGCAAAGGTGGCATTTGAGACTGACATAGAAGGTTCTCGAAACCGGATAAACCAGTGGGTTAGTGAACAAACTAAGGACAAATTCAAGAACTGCTTTCACCCGGTTCTTTAACAAAGGACACGTCTGCTGTGGTGACAGCTACCACATACTTCAAAGGTAAAAGAATACATGAATCTAACTGTGAATAATTATAAATTTCATTTTAACTGCATCCACTTTATATTTGTCTACCTGATATCAGTTGAAAAATCTTAACCGGTGTTGTTATTTAGGTTTGTGGAATATGTGTTTTCCTGAGGATAACTCACATACTAGCGAGTTTTATGAATTGAGTGGATCAAAAATGAGTGTGAAGTTGATGTATAACGAATCATATTTCGATATGGTCAGTTTACCCCACTTGAGGTCACGTGCTGCGAAGATACCATTTAAAGACCCTAAGTGAGTAATGATATTTAAAGGATTGTTTTGTATTTTACTGCTTTGTGATGTGCTTTTTAGAAAACTAATGTAATAATTTTCAGTAGTAATCTAAATAACAAACACTGATAGAAAATCACTCATAATTGTGGCATTTTGAGTTCTCCACAATATGTATCAATTTATTCAACACTTAAAATTGAGGTTTGAACGTGTAATCTACTAGTTGCTAGACGGTGTGCTGCTTTTATCGTCTCTTCATTTAGTGAAGGGCTCGAACTAATAGACTAAATTTATAATTATTATGCATTTACAATTGATTGACCAATGAGTAGTGATCAGTTTCCTCAAGTATACAGGTACACCTTGCTAACAGCTGTCAAATAGCACGAAACCTATGTCCAGGGCTTGTTGTTTATTACTTGTAACCACCGCCGCACTTATTTTAATGTATGTTATTGTGCTGCCATACTTGTATGTCGGTATTCTAAACACTAATCAAAACACTTTTTATTCATATCTGTTCAACTAGTAAAGTGTTTTAACGTCGTTTCGACTTTCAACCACAAACTATTTTACACACATTTCAGTGATTTTCTGAGCTGTAAGGTCAAGATTAAGTACGATCCAATTGAAATATAAATTCTTAAACCAAAATGAAGGGTACAGATTTTATGCAGGGATTATATATAGTATTTTATTACTGAAAATGTATAATGAGATATATTTGACTCTGCAATACAGTGAATGAATACTTAATAAATCTACCACTGGAAACAACTCCAAATAATGTTAGCTTAACCAAAGTTGGTTCAGTTTATGAAAGATAACTATCTGATGCACTTTGAAAACTGTAGGTGAAACTGAGTGTGCTAGTATGAATGCACCATGTTTTTATATTGAGATTATTGAATGTATCCGTTTTTGTCTAATTATTCCTTGATATTACTTTAGTATCCCTTCTTTTTCAAACACTTCGTTACCCAGGTTTACGTTATTGATCATTCTTCCAGATGCAAATGACGGATTGCCCGATTTACTGGATTCAATGTATAAACATGGTGGAGTTTCTTCAATACTTTCCACGAGTTTTCAAAATACAAAAATGCGTTTGTATTTGCCTAAATTTAGATTAAGAGAAGGTTATGCAATAAAACTGAAAGATCATCTGCGAAAATTGGGGATAAACGATGCATTCTGTCCTTTATCAGCTGACTTTTCAAATGTTTCTGACTCAGATAGGATGTGTATATCAGATGTGATGCATAAAGCTGTTTTTGAAGTAAGTCAATTAGATACATGTAGAAAACACATTTTTGGGAATTGTTTTGATCTCAGTTAATTATGTACCAGTTTTGAGGAGGTACGATTGTTCCGCTTTTTTAATATTCATTGGCTATTTGTAAATGTAGTTGAATATGTAATATACAATTATGTTATCAGTTCTGGCTATCAGTAATACATTTTCATAGTTGCATAATTTCTTGAATCTCGTGTTGATTGACAAATGTTCACTGAAATCAAATGCAATTTATAGCACATCATTTGGTTATAAATATAAACGTACATATTTGCGTTTCTTCTTATATTCAACACTACTGAATAGTTACGAAAATGGAAAAAATTTGTATGTTATGCACAAATTGTGCACAAATCACTAGAGGTAGCTAACCCATACCCAACCCTGTTCCTTTAGTCGAGCATGAGACTGGCATTAACTCTAGAAGAGCTACTATAATCTACATTTAAATGTCACGTTTATTGTTCACAAAATTCTGTTTCTACTGTCATAACATAGTAACAATAATGAATAGTTTTGAATGACCTAACATGGAGACAACTTTGCTTTACTTAATGTATCCTGACATTACTAATATACAGTATATTACTGATTGTAAATATTTACTGATCAGTTAAATGAATGAATTACACATATAGCTAATGGTATATTCATTGATCGTCAAATGACATTCAACTTTTGATATATCTAGCATATCTCGTATCAAATTACTAAACTATATTATTATACAAGGTTATCAATTTGGCGTGATCACATTTAACCATTCACTCCATAATCACACAAATAGTACGATCAGAGTGTGTGTAGGTTCTCATATATATATCACTAGTATTTACCACAATAGTTTATCTCGAAATTGAGACTACAAAAATTGATTTTTCTATGTGGTTCACAATTTTTTAAACATTCTTTCGTAAAACAGCAGATAACATTAATATTTGGTTCACTGTGTTCATAAATAATACTGTACATCTTACCGAGTCAATGGTTGTCTGCTCAAAGTCATATTTCAACGTGAGCTAGGACCGATCTTGCCCTACATCCATGAAGTAGTATGCTTACTAATTCACTTCATGTCAATATTAACATACGAATGATAAAAATGCTTGATCTAGGTTGGTGTATACCACTTTCATCGTAGAAATGGCAGCATTACAGAGAGAATTTGTGTGTTCACCTGGATACAAAATGTATGATTACCTCAAGTGCTTAAGTATAGACTTTTGTCAAAATTTTCAAAGTCTTTCTTATCTGAATCCCTGTTATAAAATGTTGTCATTGATTTTCTTGATGGAAAATTCTCTCTAGTAATAGATTGACACAATAACACTCATCTCAACTTGATGTACTTTCAGAATACCATAGGTTTACCATCGAGTATATTCAGTTGGCAACAGAATTTGTGTTTATGTGGCTATCAATAATAGAAGCTCTAGTTTTTCTTGAACTTTCATTAAAGACGTACCAAATAAGTAATAATTCTGATATACGAATACTGGTCAAGATTAGAACGAACAGTTTGCCAGGAATTGGGCGTCGAGTATAGAGGTCACATATACGGCCCCTGAATGCCCTGGTACGGCCGAGAGTGGGGAGAGTCCACTCTCCCTCTCGAAATACTCTCACACGGCCGCGCGTATACAGCCTCTGCCAGGGAAGTCCTACTCATTGCCTTCTCGTGGCGGGGGTGTTGTTTACGAAAGTGAGAGGACGAAAAGCGAATGTCCGGCGCTTTAACTGGATCACAAACCAATGGTGCACATGGGCTCCAGTATCCTGCGGGAACAAATGGCGTATGAACCAATCGTTGGTCACCGGCTACCATGGGATTGCATCTCCTTACGATGCTCCACTGCTTTGTGGGTTAGACCTTTAGGTCAAAGGCTCGGGGTGTGGCCCCCTAAGATAACCACCTGCTTCGGTTTGGGCACCCGGGCAGTATCACAGCCCACACACAAATGATGAACTCTTTATGTCTATGGAAATTACTTTTCTCACTTCGAAAAACAATCAATTGATTCAAATTATGAACATTACAATTATTGTCATTATTAATACTATTATTATTATTACTATTATTGTCATTATTATTATTATTATTATTATTATTATTATTATTATTTTCCACATTATTCACCCTCTTTTATACTCATACAGCGGCTCGTCTTTGGTGGAAATTCGACTGTATCTAAACGTTCTCGAGTCACTGTCCGGTTGAAAATTGTATGTTACCACCGAGTACGAGAACTGAAGCAGTTTTTCTGAAACCACGTGCATCATTCAAACTGGTTGCCTTCAACGTTCACACACTTATGCAGGTCGGACAACAGATAGGGCTGGCCATGTCTTTGGAAAGTCTTAATATTGATGTTTGTTGTCTATCCGAGACCCGTATTCAAGACTCTGGCGAAGTATTACAAATTCGATCTCCATCTGTCGCTTCGAAAAGCTTGTCTTACGTGCGCTTATCCGGGGACCCTGTGGCTTCTTCGTCTAGTCTTGCTGGCGTTGGTGTCGCACTAAGCGCTAGAGCTGAGGCAGCACTAATCGATTGGATTTCCATTAACAGTCGGTTATGTGCTGTTAGATTGGAAAGTTCCATCAAAGTGAGAAGAAATCGGCGTGAGAAACGATGTCTTTTCGTCATCTCCGCCTATGCCCCGACAGATTGCAGCCCGGATGCAATCAAGGATGAGTTTTACCACCAGTTATCTGTTCTTCTCCAGAAAGTGCGTTCGACAGATATTGTAGTACTAGCCGGAGACTTGAATGCTCAGGTTGGGCTTCTAGGCACAGAAGAGAGTCGTTTAGGTGGCCGATGGGGACTCGTTGGTCGCAGGTCAGATAACGGGGACCGTCTACTGCAACTTTGCACAGACCACAACCTGTTTCTGGCTAGCACTAACTTTCAGCACAGTCATCGCCGATGTGCCACCTGGCGTCCTCCCTCTGCATCTCAAGCCTGGACTCAGATTGATCACATCGCGATCAGGTACCACTGGCGTGGTTGTGTACAAGACTGCCGCTCCTTTTGGAGTACCTATCTGGACTCTGATCATGCCCTGGTCTGTGCCAATCTTACCTTACTTTTCAGTGGCCAACGAAGTGACCGCCATCAACGGATTGATATTAGCAAGCTGGTTGCAACTTCTGTTGCAAGTAAGTATCGAACCGAGCTAGCCTCTAGGCTAGCTACCACTCCACCGAAAAGTATAGATGAGCATTGGTTGCAATTGCATGACGCTATGAAAATGGCGGGTACAGTCAGTTGTGGGTTTGCGAAACGTCCCGCTTATAAGCACTGGGTTTCTGCAGGTTCCTTACAACTCATTGAAGCCCGTCGGTCTACTCCGGGTGACCGTGAGTTTGACCATAAGCGAAGGATGTTACGTAAGGAAATTGGGCAAAGCTTGCGTAAGGACCGAGAAGCCTGGTGGTCGATGCGTGCTAATGAGCTGGAAGCAGCAGCTGCATCTGGTAACTACCGGAAGCTCTTCCAGCTCATCCGAGCCACTGGCAGCAAGAAGTCTGGTGTGAGTGAAACAATCTGCGAGGATGACGGGATGCCAATCACTAACATCCATCGACGTCTTGGACGATGGGCAGAATTTTTCGAAGGGCAGTTCAACTGGCCTGCTGCTCCGGCAACATCAGTCAGACTGTTCTGCCCTCCATGGCCGGTCACGACTGATCCACCAAACGAGGAGGAAGTCCGCAAGGAACTCCAACTCTTGAAGCGTTACAAATCACCTGGCCCAGATGACTTACCTCCGGCTCTTTTTAAAGATGGTGGTGACTTTTTGACTAAGGAATTGACGACGTTGTTTACAAAGGTTTGGGAACTAGAGAGTGTACCAACGTCATGGAATGAGTCGATAGTTATCCCTATCTTTAAAAAGGGTTCACGTCGTTCCTGTAACAACTATCGGGGGATAAGTCTACTTCCGATTGCGTCCAAGCTATTGGCTTCCGTCATACTTCGTAGGTTGTTCAAAACCCGAGAAAGATTGACTCGCGAGGAGCAGGCTGGGTTTCGTTCTGGTCATATCTTCACCCTCCGCCAAATGTTAGAACACCGCCATACTTATCAAAGGCCAACAATCGTAGTGTTTCTTGACATCAGGGCTGCCTTCGATTCGTTGGACAGGACTGTTCTCTGGGATTGTCTATTGAAGAAGGGTGTGCCTGAGAAGTTTATTAACATCCTAAAAGCCCTATACACAAACACCTCAGGCAGAGTGAGGGCATACAACCACCTCTCTCCATTGTTCCATTCGAGCAGTGGAGTTAGGCAGGGTTGCCCAATCTCACCATTCCTCTTCAACTTTGCCATAGATGACATTCTGGAGACAGCTCTGATGAATGTAAGTAATGGTGGTGTGGATCTGTTGCCTGGAGAAATACTTCTCGACCTTGAGTATGCGGATGATATTGTCTTACTGTGCGATAATGCCCAAGGCATGCAATCCGCACTTAATCAGTTGGCAATCAGTGTCCGTAGGTATGGTATGTGCTTTGCACCTTCGAAGTGCAAAGTACTTCTACAAGACTGGCAGGATTCTAATCTTGTACTCACCCTGGATGGTGAGCAGATAGACGTAGTCGAGAAGTTCGTGTATCTGGGTAGCTGCATAAGTGCTGGTGGGGGTGTGAGTGATGAGACCAATGCACGAATAGTGAAAGCCGGAGCGGCTTATGCCAATCTGGGCCACCTTTGGCGCCTTCGTGATGTTAGTCTGGCTGTAAAAGGTCGGATCTACAATGCGTCGGTGAGAGCAGTTTTGCTCTATGCTTGTGAAACCTGGTCTCTCCGAGTTGAGGACGTTAGACGACTCTCTGTGTTCGATCATCGCTGTCTCCGAAGGATTGCTGACATTCAGTGGCAACACCATGTCAGTAATGCAGAGGTTCGGCATCGTGTGTTCGGGCACAGAGATGATAATTCAATTGGTGTCACCATCTTGAAACCCCGACTTCGGTGGCTTGGACATGTTCTACGAATGTCGTCCCAGAGAATTCCACGTCGTGCATTATTTGCCGACTCTGGGACTGGTTGGAAGAAGCGGAGAGGTGGTCAGTGCATGACATGGTGTCGTGGCATGAAAGAAAGCTGCAAAGGACTGGCTTGTGTTGGTCCTTCACGACTCCCTGGTTGGGGTCTGAGAGATGGTGCTACACAGTGGCTAGAGACGTTATCAGATATGGCTCAGAATAGAAGCCAGTGGCGATCCTGCTGTAATCTTCTTTTACTTTCTTCATAAAAAGTGGTTCTGTCTCCCTTACCTGAAAGATTTCTTCCGATTGTACCTTTGCGTTCCCTCGTTACTACCACACTACCTTACACCAATCTCTTCGTTATTGTTCTCTTTTTCTTTTTGCGCTCCTTAGTTTTTTTACTTATTATTTCTCTTCGAATTCTCATTGTTTTGTGTGGCGCATATATATTGGCGCTCTTCTGTACCAATATTCATGTGTTCAAATGATAATAATAATAATAATAATCTATCCTTTAATCTGCATGATATGTGGGAAGAGGGTTGTCTCGACCTATTTTAGAGTATTTAGTGCTACCGTGAGATTTATAATACATAGGTCTGATTCATGACTGGACAGCGTTGAAGGAAGAAATCTATCCCATCACTAAGCTATGATCTGATAGGTTGGAAAGCGGAGAGAGAAAACGATCGAGCTGGAAATTACCATAGTTATTCCTCATTTGACGAACCGAACTCAAAATAGGTAAATAAATAAATGACTAACGCGATTACAACTCTCGTGAGATACAATTATATCCAAACAAGGGGATTAAAATATGGAAATAGAATGCAAGGTGACTGAGATTACAGTAATTTTGTTATAAAAAGAATATTAGAATAATTTTTACATCACATCACTACCTTTTGACGGCGTGGGTGTTGTTTACTGAATTGTTGAACACGGTGAGTCCATCTAGGGGAGTTGGATACCCTGATTGCAAACCAATGGTGCACATGGGCTCCAAGAACCTAGGGAAACAAATGCCGTATGAACGTATTGTTGGTGATCACCTAGCTCCTGATGTGGCCCCATAAGAAAACTACTTGCTTCGATATGGGCACCTGAGCAGTATCCCGACCCTGACAGAAGTTAAATGATTTATGTTGCTCATATCTATTTGGTGCATCCTTTTACCAATGTTTGTGTATTTAAATAAATAAATAGAAAAACTAAGTGATATTATTTTGTGTATTTTGAATTATTCAAGACAGTATACAAATAGCATCTTTCATTGTTTGTCTCTGCTTATTTATTCTTTTATTCCGAATACATATATAGGTAGATGAAAAAGGTGCAGTGGCGGCTGCAGCTACAGCAATAATAACGGTAAAATGCGCAGCTGTAAAACCTTACAAACCCGTATCCGAATTTCGTGTTGATCATCCATTCTTTATTTCAATTGTTTGGAATAATTGTCTACCAATATTTCTTGGACATATTACATCACCATTGAATGACTAATAATAAGAAAAGTTGATCATTTATTAGCTTACAAGAATGATCAAATTGCCTACTATTGATTTTGTTATTCATATATGACTAGTAATAATTTTAATGAGAGAATTCATTTCACTTTTATTTCTGTGATCAGGTATTTTTTTGGAGTTCTTTTTTAATGTTTTGATGATTTTTTTAAAAATTTTTTTCTATAATATTACTTTTATGTTCACATGGTTACTGATCAGTAACTAATAAAACTTTGTTCTGTTCTTCATATTCGTATTTTTAAAATAACACATATATGTTTGTTGGTAATAGTAAAGACCAGATCTATGGAATTACGTCATAGCCTATAAAGATCGACTAGCTATTCAAATGGTATGAAAATAACACAGGTATGTGCACCAGTGACAATTTTGAAACCACAGAACTCAAATGAGATTATATGGACTGATATTTTTGTGCCATTACGTGAAAACATGATGCCTGTAAACATTTTGTAAGTTGAACCTATTCTTGTGTGAATAGTCAGTTTGGCGATACTCCACAATCTCAACTCATTTTTGGTACATCAGTGATTTACATATTTTTTGATGATAAGATTTCAGAAATTGTTGCAATGAAAATGTAGAGAACAATGTGGATTGGATAGCTGATATGAATTGTTTTACACTATAGATTTATTATTCACTATTCAGTCCATTGATGTTGTTGTCTAATGAATGAGTGAGAATGAAGCGTGAATCGAATCGGTCATTTTAGTATAGACATCTTATTGTCTTCAAATGAATACTGTATATTCTCACTTGTATATTTATTACGTATGATTGACATGAAAATTATCGATGTATGAACAGCAGTTATGAATGTGTAGAGTAAATACATAGTGACAACTATGAAGTACACTTTGAATCCGAAAAATCGTAACGAAACACATAGCATAATTGTATTCAGTTGGCTTTTTCTGGACATCATGAGAATGATCATCCACGAAAAACTCTATCTCGACTTCTCAATCCTGCCACTTCTTACCATCAGTGATGATGTTCGAAAAGCAGCTGTAATGAATTGGATTTCCAATATACAGGCAATATTCTAGTACTGAACAACTTGTAATCAGTGTTCGCAAACTTGGAATTAGAATTCAGCATGTGTGAATCTGATACTTTTTCTGGTAAAAAATAATTAATTTCAAAAGATCCTATATTATATCATAAGATGTACTTTGATTGATTTCAGAGCAATTACTGTGCTTAATTATTTACGTATGTTATTCGTCGTGAAGGAGCATAAGTCGCCCATTATGATGACTGAGGTCTCCTATTTCTGCCTGTATACATCTTATCTTCGGAACATAAATCTAATTTCGTGTTAATCATATGTAATTGACCCAGCTTATCACTACTACAATACTCAGCATGTCACAGTCATTCTTAAAGCTATTATTACAGAAAGCTTTTCTCTTTCAGACTTCCAGACGCACAAAGAACCACAGATACCTCATAAGTTAAGGTTTATCACCAATTTACATATATCATTCAATAAAATATGTAGTAACACTCATGATTATTTTGAAGAACGGTTAATCCCTTTCATCTGACAGACAACGTTATCGACAGAGTAACAATTCGTTTATTTCCTTGAGTTGGAATAAGAGCTATCATAACCATGTCAATGTGTTTATTTGAACGCTTGGTGCAGTCTACGCATATCGCTCTCTCACTCAAATCTTGATCTCCTAAATCTTGCTTGATATATTATTTTCCTTCCGTGCCAAGGCTGATAGCGACATTTCTTTTGTCTTCGTAAACGTCGAACATCCCGGTATATCCAGGAATGGCCATCTTCTAATTTGGAACTGTCCAGGATACGTAAGGTTGAGTTACCCGACTGTATAACTGCCTGAAACGAGTCCATGACTCTTACGCTGATGCCCTTGAGTCAATTTCCAGTTTTCAGCCAATGCTGTGGAGTCCATTACCTCCATATCTGCTTTCCATAAGTTAGGACAGGTCAGCACATTTGTTTGACAGGCAATCTCAGCCATGAATTTGAGTGATGTGACTGCATGGTCACTTATCCCTAGTGGTGGGAGGAAAGTCATTTGACCGATGTCATCACCTTATGTGAAGACTAAATACAAAAGAGAAGAGGGGTTTCGAATTCATATATTGTGAGATTTCTAACTTGTTGGAATTAAGCTAGGACAATGGAGGTTTCAAACAGTTTGCAGTTGAGTGACATTATCGATTACCCTACTTCTAAGTTGACTCAATTTATATACGGTGCATTAAAGTCGCCTACTATAAAGCTTTTACCCCTATTACACCAGGACATAATTTTGCTTAGGAGGAAATCATGTACTACACATTTCGGACTGCGATATACTACAACTAATTCAATATCTTACCGTCTACATTTCAGCTTGCAACGCACCAGTTCACATGTCCCTGAAACGCGTACCACTGTCTCGACTGCTGTTATTGTTGGGGTCCTTTTAGTGTACAGAATAACCCTATCTCCTATACCGTTCAATCTATCAGCCCTACTGGATGAAATACCAGTCAACTGTGTGTCATTATCTAATACTTCTGACGTTAACCATGTTTCTGAAATAGCAATATAATCCGGTTTCTCTTTATCCATCATTGTCTTGAGTTCCGCCATTTTATTTAGTAGACTGCTGGTGTTTGTGTAGCATACCTTTAGTTTTGTGGAGGACTTTCCGTTATCACCCAGAGTGGTGTTGGAATCGTTTTGCTTTGAAATTTCACAATCTGAAGACCCTTAAGAACGAGGTTTCTTTTACCGTTTTGGTGGCACACGTTTATTTCAACTTGTGCAGCTCGTCTCTTAATACGACCAGCTATGTTGTGATCCTGACGGACGTATACTCCGGATCCGATCAGTTTACGTGAGTTACAGAGTATTAGGTTTCTTTCTTCAACCATAGCAAAGGTGACCTTCATGATGTGGCGTTTCCGAATACTTTCAGAATCTCCCTTTTGTCTTATTCTATAAAGCTTACAGACGCTAACTCCTGAAACTGTTTCTGCGAGTAGCTGGCCCAATAAGTACTTGATAAGACTGAGGTCGTGCTGAAATCTAGTTTTTGGTTCCTTACTGGAAGATTCTCTTAGCTGGTGAACAATGACTGACCTCTCAGTGAGGTCTGCCTTGACACTCTGTGGAACATTAGTTCCTGAAACAATCTCTTCCTTGCAATCCGATTTTAATTCAACGTCAAACGCAGAGGTTACGTTCTGTTTTCTTACTTTTTTTCGAGGTGTGACTGAGAGCCTCTCATTTATCTTGCTTTGTCTCTTGATCACTTCTACACTGCTCAGACGTGGCTCCCCCAATGCTTGTGTTACATTGATTTGTGGATCCGGAACTGAACCCACAGGTTCACATGCCTCAGCACTGTCAATAGGTAGTTTCTTCTACTCAGCGCGCTTCTTTTTTCTCCTTGTAACAATGCTTTCACCCATATGCTTATATACTTCTCTGATGAGGTCCATCTTTATGGTCTTATTTAAGTCTAGAGCTGGGCTCAGAATAATGCTCTCAATTTCCTCGAAAGCAGAGTTCTGTTCATCTGCTGCTGCCTGTTTATCAGACGGCGATTTCCTAGCTGTATTTAGCATCTCGATCACCTCTAGAATCAGCAGAGATTTGATAGAACAACATTCTTTACACGACCAACGTGATAATGGCTTACAGCACCGTTTATATGGAGCCGGTGTGAGTCTACATGCACTTGGGGGATATAATGATTATTAAGTACACAATAGGGGAAGCACCAGTACCCGTGGTCCGGTCTCATAGGGATCTTGGGGTGACAGTGAGCCATAATCATGAGTCCACGGCCGATTCCCGAGAAGTCGCAGCTATGGGGTTTAGAACCCTCCCGACTTTACAGCGGACACTCACTAATTTGAATACTACCATGTTCACTACAATATACACAACATACTTGGAACACGTTACCCAAAGCAATGGTTTCCGCACCTTCAACTGACTCATTCAAGAGAAGACTGGACACTTGGAGAAGCATACTAGAAAAGGAATATCATAGGCTGTAGGCCTGTAGCGTGGTGTCGAGTTGTGATTGACTATGAACACCGCTACCAAGAAACACGTGCCAAATGAATCAGAAGGCGTAGATCGAACGTAACCAAAGAAATCCATAAGATCCCCGAGAAGCCAAATACCAGAAGGCAATTAATGGACCAAATCGAGATATATATTTTCTGGCGATCTCGTGGTTACAGAACGTAACCGAATTCGCGCGAAGTTACAATCAAAGTGTGAGAATAAGAATGGAAGCACAATATAGCTGTCATTAGCACAGTCAAACAAAAGCACGTTAAAACAAACATTGGTACAGTTGGTTATAATAATAATTGTTTTTATTAAACCAGTCGTGTTCTCGTGATAAATGTGAGTTACTACAGGCCTTCGGTCCTTACTACACAAATCTCAATCAGAATCTGCATCATGAATTGTAAGTGAATTGCCTGGCAGCAGAAGTTTATGATTAGAGAAGAGAACAAGAACGGAGAATGATTTGTGTGGAAACGAGAGAACAATGAATTATGAGACGATTGATTGACAGTTTGCAAATGAGTTATTTACTGTATGGTTCTCAAATTTTACCAAGGTATTCTATAATTTTGCATTCAAATGCATTTGACTGAGACAACCTGTGTTCTTGTTCACTACGGACCCACCTGTGCGACTAACCCTGTCGTCTGTCACTCAAAATTTTCGTTATTCAATGAAGGATACTAATTCGACACAAAATTCGTCCTTATTCACCGAAACAACTGTTCAGCTGTTTGAAATATACTTTGGTAGTACTAGTAAAACTTGTTCGACGAGATATCGCCTACGTGATTGAATTCCTACAACTGTGGATGAGAATTTAGTTGAAATTAGAAGGGATTAAATGAATAAACGATCTTTGAATATACAGAAGCACTTCATACAGCATGATAATAGCTTCAGTTTATAATGAT